CCTCGACCTGCTGGGCTCCGGCGATCCTTCCGCCTCAGCCTTCCAAGTAGCCGGAATTACAGGCATGCGCCACCACGCCCGGCTGATTTTTTGATTTATTGTAGAGATGAGGTCTCGCTGCCCAGGCGGGTCTCGAACCCGCGGGCTCAGGCATTCCACTCACCTCAGCCTCCCAAAGGCGCGGGATTACAGGCTGAGCCACCGAGCCCGGCTTCTCTCTCCTATTTTATGACTAACCATTCCTCGATCCCATCATCCAACTGCACATCCCTACACTTTAGTGTTCACAATCTCTCCTTATCCACCCTCTTTAGTGTCCAGTGTATTAGAACTCTTGTCCTGAGGCCCAATTCAAATGTCTTTGCCTACTGGAAAATTTTAGTGAAAACACTTGAAAATTTAATTTTTTCCTTTATCCTGGTTCTTACAGAACATTTTGCATAACTCAATATCACCTTGACCTTGGTCATTAGTTATTTCTGTTAATTTCCCACAGCAGTATCTGGGCTCTTTCAGGAAGAGCCTGATGATAATAGATATAATGCCTTAACCAAAGCTTTTCTGTAAGGATGGAGATCCCCAAAAGATTGTAAGACATCTATCTTTAAAATGGTCACAGAAACACAGCAATTTAATTTAGGTTAGGTAGGCTTAGCTGTAAAAACTGCTATGAACAGAAAAAAAACTGAAGTTATGGATACATGGAAATCTGGTGATGGGTAGTGAAGTGGGGATGGAGAACACCCAAGGAGTTAAAAGAGAAACAAGACTGAAATAGTTGGCCTCTAACGAAGACGTTGCATGTATCCATATGCAGCAGTCCCAAGAACTTTGGGTAGTGATATGATTTGATGTCAGGAGACTCTGGGCAGCTAGTGAAACACCTGAAGGTGGGCAGTCTTGAGTTATTTCAAAGTAAATAAGTTTATTTGTTATAAATTTATTTATTAAAAATTGTGTATTTATTCTTACATGTTTAAACTTCAGTCATCTTCAAAATACTCCCCATTTGATGTAAGGCTCCTATTGAGACACTTTTTCCACTGCTCAAAACAGACTTTGAATTCGTCAATTTTGATGCCTCCTAGTGTTTCTGCTGTTTTTTTGTTTTAGCTCATCTACATCAGCAAAACATTTCCTTTTGATAACTTTTTTTTCATCCAAGGAATCAAACAAACAAAAAAATGTCACTTGGACAAGATCAGGTGAATAGGGAATGTGGAGAATGGGGGGGCATGCCATTTGGGGTCAAAAATTGCTGAACTTTCAGCACTGTGTGGGCAGGTGCACTTGTAAATCAACCATCATGAAATGGGCAATGATGTTGAATCTCCAAAAAAATTCCCTGAAGCCAAATGCAACCTCTCACAACAATCCTAGCCGGTACACTGATGCTGATGGGTTGCTAGAACCACTCATCTAGTAAGGGGAGCCTGTACTATAAGGAGCCCACCCTTCAAAAGACAATTTTGTTTTCTTGAGTTCCCCTTCATATAAATAACCTATGTGAATAAAAGAAAAAGTACAAGTGGAGCACATGTGGAAAATCACAAACTCTGATTGATGGGTGAGCGACAACACTATTAAATTCCAGGGTCAGTGTTGGTCTCTTTAAGGAAACCAGTTTGAAGAGGATGAGAACTGATTGTGTAGCTATAGGAAGAAAAAATATCCCACAAAGAGCAAACAGCCAGAACTGTGTGTGAAGTAGGGCATGTGTTGACATTTTCTTAGAACATCAGGGGAGCCATTATGGATGAACAGGTAAACCAGATAGAGACTTGTAAAGGATGAAGTCACATTTATGATGGGGAAGGTGGAGTAAAATCAGATTCCAAGAATTGTAGGCAATTTTAAGAGCTTGTCTTGTATTCTGAGGGGAAAAAGGAATTACTCCAGGAGGTTGGGCAGAGAAGTGAAATGATTAGAGTGACCACACTACTGGCTGCACTGTGAAACATAGATCAGTGGATGGGGATGGGGAAGGTATATAGCCAGGGAGAAAAGTTAGGAGGCTTGTGCCCTCATCCCGGTGAAAAATGACCATGCTTCAGTTCAATCTATCAGCAGTGAAGGCTTGCAAAATGATCAGATTCTGGATCTATTTTGAAAGTTGAGTCAACAAGATTTTCCACTACATTGACTTATTTTTATTTATTTTGATCATCAGTTTTATTAAGCAGTGAGAAGCATCTCAAGCCACACTCTGAAGACAAAGAAAAATTATGCAAACCAATTTTTTTAGACATGCTACAAGTAGGCTTATCAGAAATTTTATCAGCTGTAAAACTGTCAAACAACAGCTCTATTACAATGCAAAACTCTGATAAGTTTAATGACCATCTTGATTACAGCCTTGAGGCACAGAAAAATCCTCTAATTTCTGCGTCTGCCAAGAATTAATGAGTCATATTCAGTCAGAAATATGTTTAGTGCTGTCTATCTATAGTCATTTTTTGGAAATATATGCTTTCATGTTGAATTGAGCAACTCTTTCTTAACTACAATATTCAATAATTCAAGCTGTGAGTGACCTGATCGTTGATTTTAACTAAAATACTCTATGTGTATGTGTGTGTGATTGCGTATTTTTATATAACAGGAAGTCAATATGGAGTGGAGGGAGTTAGATGCAATTTGAACTCTTGAGAGATGGCAGATGTTAATTAGAAGACACAGAATTAGAAAATATTGAAAGAGAAGAGGGCAGATGCTGAAGACATGCGATTTGATTACATTGACTCTTAAATGTGGTGATTATGACACAAATGCCGAGATGGTGAATATATTTTGATGAACAACATGTTAGTTTTCTAGGACTGCCATAACAAATTATTACAGACTGGTTGTCTCAAGCAGCAGAATTGTATCGTCTCATATTTCTGGGGCTAAAATACAAAAACAAAATGACAGAAGGACATGCTTCCTCTGAAACCTGTAGGAGGGAATCCTCCCTTGCCTCTTACTAGCTTCTGGTGGTGGCTGTCAGTCTTAGGTGTTTCTTGGCTTGCACGGCATCACTCCAATTTCCGCTTGTCTTGTCACGCATATTATCCCTTTGCATCTTTACATCATCTTATAAGGTCATCAGTGATATTAGATTAAGGTCCCATGTCATCTTAACTAACTGCTATCTGGAATAACTTTGTTTATAAACAACTTCACATTCTGATAAATTGGGGGTTTAGTATTTCAACATATCTTTGGGGGAACACAGTCCAATCCATTTAAAAAGCTATTATGCTAAATTAACTTTCTTAGAGATTAATTTATAATTTTCTTCTAATGGCAAATTTTCCTAAGCTGATACATCATGAAAAACATTTGCTTGTATTTTAGTTTGGATGTAATTGTATTATCCAAAATTAGTTCATTTGAAAACTTAAAAGAAATCTGAGGTTAATATGATCTGGACAAACTTCATGAATAAATAAATTACATGGAACCGTAGGGATATTGCTATTCTTCAGTGTTATAAACATCTTTTCCCATACATATTTAAGTGGGAGCAAGTGAACAAAGAAACACTCACAGTATTGTCTTTTTTCCTGGCCTTGGTCAGATGTGTTCTTGTTCTGTTCTTGAAATTTTAAGTAAATCAACCTGTCTTAATTGCAATTTTCTCATCTGAAAACTGAGATGAGAAAAAATCTCTTCTTTCCCTACGTTCTAAAAACCTTTGGTTTACATGTATTTATTCCAATGAGCCCCACACTCCAGAAAGATGGATTGTGAAACAGATTTCCAAAGAACACTTAGGAAACGCACCCATCACCAAGTCACAGTGTTGCTTATCAGACTGTGGCAGAGCCCTGGATGTTCTCTCATCACTTTTTGCAGGTCCTTCAATGGCTAGTCAGGAATGGTATAAGTGCTTCCGCCCTAAAACACATGTTGGTTCAACATTCTTTCACACTTTCCAGGCTATTTTCCTAAATATTTATTTATATAGCTGAATTTAAAAGTTTTTATTCACTTTCCCTAGATTTTTAAAGGGTCTTGGTTGTACAGTTTCATTGCCTGGTAACATGGCAGAAGCTTGGAAGGTGAATCAATCCTAAAATTCCCATTCTACACACTAGCTGTTTGGCTATAGAAAAGCTATCTGACTTAAGCCTAAGTTTGCTCATCTGTTAAATAATGGCATCACTAATTCTGTGGAGTCATTTTGAGGATTATACGAATTAATCTATATGAATTGCTGTCGTGGTGCCACTTAAGTATTAGCCTGTCTCCAAACTTTTATTTAAAAAATTTAATCCCATATGCTTTCTCTAATTTTTAAACAAATGCCACAACCCATTCAATTTCTCTCTAGGCCTTAAGTTTCAAGTACTTGAAGTCTAACTTGGTGCTTGGCAGATTTTATTAATATCTACCATACTTTTGCCTGATTCACTTACGGTTGGCTAATTTACCGTATTCTGACATTTGGCTTTTCAATGTGGCTGCCTCCATGTGGTTCTACATACCCAACTGTTCTTTGGTCAGAGGCTCTCAACCCTTCCTGAGGTCTCATTAACTGTCATTTATATTTTTTAGTGTGTTTTACTAGCTCTGGAAGATTCAGTCAGTGATGTTCTGAGGCTGCCCTTTCCACTTTCCCCAGACTCTACTTCTCATAGGAGGCTGACTCTTTCTTCCTGAGCTCCTTCTTCAAAGCCTGGTGTTAGGCAGTGTCTACCCCCTTCCTTCTTTTCTAAGCCTTGAATTCTAATATCCTTCAAGTGTAGAAACACATTAATTTCTGTGTTCCAATCATACCTCCCTGCTCTTTCTTTTCCCTTTCCTTGGAAACTTCCACTATATTTTACTCTCTAAAGAGCTTTTTAATCCTGAAGAAACAAGAAGAGAATTCAATCCATATTTGCAAGTGAATAAAATTCTATATATAATTGGGAATTTCAGATGCTAAGCAAAACTCTTTTGATTTAAGATGATAACCAAGCACTACCACAATCACTATCCACTTCCAAATTCACCTGGGAATGTGTTCTTGAGTTTGCTTAACTACTTCCTGCCTGATCTTTCTCTCTTTAAAGTGGGAATAAACATAAGTGCTGCATACTGCTGTTGTTAGATTAAACTAGACACATGTGCTGTGTTTAGCTAAGTACTGATTTTCCATCATGCTGTTATTTGTGGTGAGGTCTCTAAGTAACTTGCAATTTTACTTAAACTCTGGATAAGTTTTCATCTTCTATAGCATGTTTTCTCTCCCCTTTTGATACAAGTGCCTTCATCACTCTCTACAACAGCCTGACGAGCTTTCTGTCATGGAAGGAACTACAATTGTATTTCATCATTTTGACAGCTGAGATCAATAGAGTGAAATTGTGTTCTTTTAGACCATTTAATATTTATACCTGAAGGTATATATGTATCATTGTTTGTGCTTGAAAAAGTCTTATTTTTTTAAACCAGTAGGGCCTGTAAATAAAATTACATAGTTTTCATGAGCTGGCTGAAGAAATGTATTTATTTTTATTAACCCCACTGGAATTATCGCCTTCAATTTTGTATTTAATTATTTTTTAAAAGAGCAAGAGGTAAATATGTCAGTTTTTGTTTGTTTGTTTTTGTTTTAACTGTGAACACTTTATTAAGACCGCTGCTTTTCCCTTAAGGTTTTTCTTTTTTTCCAGCTGAATTCCATTAATTGACTCAAGGTACCTTTTGAGTAAATCTACTTACTCTGAGATTCTAACAATGTCTAAACATCATGTTTATTAATACTACTCTGGGAGGTAGTTTGTTCTTTTATTCAACGCAGCTTAATGGAAAATCTTTTGGAACAAGTCAGTTTTGA